CCAAGTCAAGGGTTAAGATCCCCTTACCGGTCATCTTTTTAAAAAAAAAACAAAAAAAACCCAAGATGTCCTGACACAACAGCCAAAGGTGAAAACAACCCAAGTGTCCACGGATGGATAAATGGATAAACACAATGTGGCGTATCCACACAGTGGGGTGTTATTCAGCTGTGTAAAGGAAGCAAAGCATTGACTGATCCATACAACACAGACAAGCCTGGAAAACACGCTGAGTGAACAGAGCCAGACACAAAAGGACAAAGAGCATAGGGTTCTACTTAGGCGAGGTCCCTAGAGTAGTGAAACTCAGACAGAGAGTAGAATGGTGGTGGCCATTGGCTGGGGGAGGAGGGAATGGGGAGTTAATGCTTAGTGGGTGCAGAGTTTCGGTTTGGGAGGATGAAATATTCATTCTGGAGATGGATGGTGCTGATGGTTGTACAGCAATGTAAATGTACTTAGTGCCACTGGACTATACACTTAGGGGTTAAGATGGTAAACTTATGTACATATACATATAAGTTTATATATATATACATATATTCTACCATAATTAAAAAAAAAAAAATGTCCTGAATGCCTACTCTGAGCCAGGTATGGGGAGACTCATGATGACGGCTAAGGTAAGAGTATCCTCAGGCTGCAAGGGCTCAGGCCTGAGCTTCCCAGACACTGGCTGCTCTGAATCAACTTCTACTGCTCATTCAGCAAACGTGTCCCACTCCTCTGTGGGCTCAACCTGGAGTCTCAGAAAGAACCAGGCCCTGCAGGGGACGTGGGATGCTGATGCCTCTCCATCATCCCACCCCACTGTGCAAACAACACCCCGATTTTCTCCGCTGCTCCCTTTTGCGCGGGACTTGGAGAAGTAGTCAATCAAGATGCCAAGGGTGGGCATAAGACCTAAGCCGAGCCAATTGGATGCTCTCCTGAGCTGACTCCTCCCCGCCGTGGGAAACTGAAGGTGGACTACTCGTCCTGGCTGGACCTTCCCACCCTCCTGACTTCACTTCTCCCGTGGGTGCCCCTTCAAGCTTCTAGTAAATTCCTTCTTTGCTCATGTTAACTAATATCAGTTATTGTAGCTTGCAACCAAAACCCCTAAGCCTGCCTACAGCTCACAGAATGGGCTATCGAGCCTGGTGAATTTGAGGGAAATAATGAAAGTAATTGTGGCAGCAGCAGCTCCCATGGGGGCCAGGCACCAGCTCTGTGCTCATGGTGGACCTGAGATGGTCCCCTCATGAGCCCATTTTACTGATAAGGAAACTGAGGCACTGGTTTCAGGTCACTCGGTGGCAGCAGTGAGGCCAGAAAGCACGTGCAGGCTGTCTTGTACATAGGCCCCAGCGCACAGCTCCATGCCAGGCTTCCTGTCCAGGTGAGCATAGAGGGCCCTTGCTGGGCCTGAAAGGAGGTCACTGAGGCCAGACAGGTGGAGCCCAGGGGCAGCTAGGAGTCTGGCCATCACACCACTGGCCACAGGGAGTACCGAGAGTCTGTCTTGGGCAGAAGAACCACAGGGTCAGGCTGGGCCTGAACAGCATGCTGGAGGGGGTGAGAGCCATGGCCATTTTGGGAGGATGGAGCCGGGGCCAGGCCCCCATGCATCCAGGAGGCAAAGCCAGGGTTGGTGGCAGGCGGCACCTGGGCCAGGGGCCATCCACGGAAGCTCCCAGACTTCAGGCTGGGGAGACGTGGGGTCAGGGTGGGAGGCCGGAATATGCCATCGAAACAGAACCAAGAGGAGGGACAGCAATGGGCTTTGGGTGGGATGTCTCCTGTGTGAGTCACATTGGTCTGAGGTGCCCCAGGGCCATCCAGGCACTGGACAAGCAGGTCTACAGCACAGGACGGAGGTCTGGGCTGCCTATGCCAAACCCATAACACGCTTCAGCGGTTTTGTGTCCTTCTAGAACTTTCTCCCTGCTGGCCTGTCATCTCTCCCAGCACCTGGCCACCCGGACCTCCCATTTGGGTGGTAACAGCCTGGGTGTGTTTTTGTGAGAACAAACACCCCAGTGTGTGCCTGACTCCCTTGCCGAGGGCCTCCTGCTCCCGTATTCTCTACAGCCTGGGGATTAGTCCCTCTGAGGGGGAAACTGAGGCCCCAGGGCACTGCGACTTCCCCCACCACTCCACCGCAAATGAAAGGGAAGGCCTGGAGGAGTGCTCAGAGTCAGAGCAAGAATTTATAGAGCACCTACTGTGTACAGGGGATGTCTTAAGGGATGCCCCCTCCCTCTCCAGGGCAGCAATGGTGGGGCCTCAGGGTTTACCCTCCCACTCTCTCTGCCTCATCCCTTCACCTCCCCCCTCTCTCTCGTCCACCTCCCTGTGGGAGCTGGTGGGGGCGGCGCCGCACACCTTACCTTTCAGGCAGGACAGCTTAAGCCCCATGTTGGCGGCGCCTCTGCAGGCCTGTGAAGAGAGGAAAGCACTCAGAGAGGGGCAGGGACTTGTTTTGCATTGGCCACATGTGGCCAGCCCCCCCCTGCAACCCCCACCCCCAGCTGATGGGTGCACAACAGGAAACAGTGGCGGAGAGAAACTGCCAGGGGACTGCGAGGTCACAGTGCCTGCTACATCTGGGCTGAATCTGCTTAAAGACGGAGTCTGTGCTGGCGGAAGAAACTTCCAGGCGCCTCAACGCTAAATATACTGGAGTCTACTCAGGCGTCTGGGGCCGTCACGGGTGAAGTTCAAGGTGAGGGCGAGGCCGGGGATGGTGATGTGGAACCAGCACCAACAAGCCTTTCCTTTCTGGGCCACAGTAGAGGGGTCGGCTTCAGGAATGTGAGGACTCTTGGGCCAGGCCACGGGTCAGCCCAAAACCCACTGTCATTGGGTGTACTTTCTGTTACAACGCTGCCCTTTAAAAATGCTGATTCTTTGGAGAGCTAACAGATTAAGCTATAAAGGGTGCATGGTCCCTAGTCCATGGGATATTAGGATCATCCCAACCAGTGTTCCCATGTTCCTGTAACGTGATGTGTCCTTAGAATTCCAAGTAATTGGTAAATAAAATAAAAGCAGCAGCCAGTGATGCTGGAGCACCTCACGTGCTCTCGACACTCAACCCTGTCACTGTCACGACCCTGTGAGGTGCTATTACTACCCCCATTTTATGCATGTGGAAATCAAGCCTCAGAGAGGTGGCATCACCTGCCTGAGGCTACCCAGCTCACTAGGAGTTGTGGAGCTGGGATCTGAACCCAGGACTGCCCTGACCCCCAGGCTGCAGCCACCCCCAAGGGGCCTTTGCAGGAAAGGGCAGGCGCCTGTTTCTACCTCAAATGGGCCCTGTGTTGGTGACCGGGATGCTGAGCTCTTTCCTTCATTCACGGAGAGCCACCTGCATGCCAGGCCGTGGGCCAGGCTGGGGTGGAGGGGCACAGGGTGGCCGCAACCCTCCCTGCCAACTCTGGCAGCCTGGGGTGCCCCTGCCCACCTTCCCTCCCTCGTTTCCTGGGGGCAGATCTGAATCCTTTACCGATGTCTCCCCCAGCCTTCCAGCCACCTCCCCATTTACCTCTAAGGAATTTCTTGCACATTTCCCATCGTGGTGACTGGTCTTGGAGGATCCAGACTAATGCAGGTGGATATAAGGCCAAATGACATGCAGGTGTATACATAGCCAAACGAGGCATGGCACCTGAGTCCAGGTTGTTCAGACCAGCAGAGGGGGCAGGCAAGACGTGGTGAGCCCCGGGGGACAGTCCTGGGAGGATAGAGGAGGACTGCGGCCCCAGCCTGGGGAGCCCAAGGTTGGCATCCCCAAAGGCAGGCAGGAGTGAGCCAAGCAGGGAACAACGTCCCAGGAAGCAGGAACAGAATATGCGAGTGTCCAGAAGTAGACAAGGGCACGATCCATGGGAGGAAGAAGAGGGTGGGAGG